CCTGTTTCCCTGAAAATAAGACTGTCTCATGTTAATTTTTTCTCCCAAAGTTGCGCTAGGTCTTATTTTCAGGGGATGTCTTATCTTTCCATGTGCTAGGTCTTATTTTTGGAGGATGTCTTATTTTCGGGGAAACACGGTAGTTCTATCTACTGAGCAAATGGGCTAGGGCCACCTTTTCTTTTTTAAAACATGGTTGGTTGGTTGGTTGGTTGCTTGTTAATCTTAACTACTATAAAGGAAATAGTGTCACTTTGCAACAACAAGCTTTAACTATTCTGTCTAGCAAAAATAAAAGGTCAGCCTCACACCACTTAGAAATTACCTTACCAGTTGGGAATCCAGCTGGACAGCATTGTTGGCTTTTTTTTTTTTTTTTTTTTTTTTTTTTTTTTTTTTTTTTTTTTTTTTTTTTAATTAGTAATAATCGCATTGTAGTAATAATTGGCTACAATACTGCCACTGCACAAAGCTGTGTTGGCATTTATTAGCCTCAGACTCTGAGCACTGGTGTGGCCATCACACAAAGGCTCTACCCTGCATCAGCGGGCCAGGAACTGGGCCCAGGGTGAGTCATTGCCTCTCCCCAACCCTCTTCCTATAGAGTCCACCCTGCACTTGGTGCTTCGTCTGAGGGGTGGCATCATTGAGCCCTCCCTCCGCCAGCTCGCGCAAAAGTACAACTGCGACAAGATGATCTGCCGCAAGTAAGCATGCCTGGGGGCGGGGCCTGGTGAGAGGGGCCAGGTGCCCTGACCAATCCTTCCTTTCTGTGCTCAGGTGCTATGCCCGCCTGCACCCCCGTGCTGTCAACTGCCGCAAGAAGAAGTGTGGCCACACCAACAACCTGCGCCCCAAGAAGAAGGTTAAATAAGGCCCCTCCCCAACTCCTTGGGTCCACAGGGCAGCCTTCTATCTGAACCCTGTGATGCTAGGGCCTCAATAAAGTTTCTCTTTTGTTGACTGGAGCAGTAACTCGTGTCCATGTGGCTGGTCTGTCCTGTGGGGAAGGTGGCCGGTGTGGGTATCTCCCTTAGGGACTCCCTGTTCTGTGAGTCCTTGTGTATTCAGGTGTGGATGGGTTCCCCACCTACTGGGAAACACCTGTTCTCAGTTTTGAATCTTAGAAGCACTCGGGCCCCACTTGATGATTTTGGAGGGGTAAGCTTTGTTTTTCACAGCTTTGTATGATGCTTCTGCAAGTCAGGTTAAGGCTAGGTGCCCTGAGGCGTCCATGCTTTCTTGGGACAACTGGGGCTTGGTGTGACAACCCAGGCCTGGAAAATGTCAGAACAGCGGAGACCTGCAGCGCTAGCTAATGATGGAATCTCGGTCATTCTACGTCTCAGTTCAGTTTCATCCCTCAAACTACAAACATCTCCTGTGCCAGGTGTCCACCATCTTAATGATCTTCCCATTTCCACCCCTGGAGAAGGAAGCATCTCAGCTCAAACTAGAATCCAGTAGAAAGCTTGGAGGCCACCTAAGTGCTTAATATGAGGCCCTGTGGCCTCACCTCTGCCCAGTACTCCCTTCAGATTATTCATGAGGTCTTACCACAGTCAAATAAAGTCGTCTGGACCTACTTCTAATGTCAAGCTGCATTGAAATTCCACTTAGCACAGCCTTGTGGGACTATACGATGGGAAATCAGTTTTGTCTGAGGTCGGTATGTGGATAAAAGGAAATGTATTGACATAGCATAATAAAACGCTTACAAATCCAGAGATAGCCTTGCTATGCTACACATTTAAGAGCAAATGAAAGAAGGCAGAACAAGGGTGGGGTGGGGATGAGGTGTCGGTATATGGCTGAGAAGTCCCCAGTCTTCCAGTTTCCCAGCTCCGGTGGTTTCCCGTTTGGCCGGCCGCTGGCTGAGATCCAGAGACCTCCGGGCCTACAGGGGGCGCTTATCGCAGCAGAGCAGCCACCCAGGCGTGGCCAGGGCTGAGCAGTCATGATAACCGCCAAGGCTGAGGCTGAGTCAGCGGTCCCCTCGGTGCCCGAAACGGGGGCAGTCAGAGGAGACCCAGAGCTCGAGGAACCGACGTGGCCTTGGGTGAGCCCAGGGCCCGAGCAGGAACGGGTGCGGGGCGGGTGGTACAGGTTCGGGAGTGCCGGCTTCATGCCCAGCCATGCCCCCTGCTCCGTAGAAAGATGCCCCGATCCGGGCGCTGGTGCAGCGCATCCACCAGTTGCAGGCTGAGCGTGCGCAGGCCTTCCGCCGCCTGGAGGAGTAAGTGGCAGCGCCGGGGTCGCAGGGTTCGGTCCCCTTCCTGCTCCGGAGGTAGGCGTGCCCGGAGCCAGAGCTGGGGCCCAGGCGGGGTGGGGTTTGCGAGATGGCTCGGGGTGTATCCTCACTTCCCCAGATCCCACCCAGTGGGGTGTCTCTCCCTTCCCCAAGCGCAGCGGAGCGTGTCTTGGGTTCCTCTGCAGGAATCATCGTCCTCCACACGGGTCCAGGGACACTTGGGGGGGGGGGGGGGGGGGGGGGGGGGGGGGCAGTGTAGGGCTTTCAGGTGGCCGATGCGGGTGCAGGGCCTGTGAGCCTGGAGGCGTGGCCTCAGTACACACCCTGCCGCAGAGGCCACCACCAGTACCTGCGCAGCGGCCCGCCACGGGACTTCCCGAGCTACCGGCTCACAGTGCACGAGGTGACCCAGGCCTTCGCCGCTGCCTCCCGGGAGGTGCTGGCGGTGGAGGCCGAGCTGGCCGGCCCTAGAGCGCAGCCGCTGCTCGCGGGCCATGTGCGAAGCCTGCAAGAGCTGGAGCAGACACGCCTGGCTACGGTGAGGCCCTGCCCCCTACTCTAAACGGAATCTCTCCCTCGGTGGCCTGCTGGGTCCACTCTGGGCCACGTGGTCGAAAGGCCAGATGATTCCAGTCCCTGTTCCTGGAGTCCCACCCCCACCTCAATCTTCCACTAAGGCTTCATTTGAGATCTCCCACCTCCTGGTCCCCACCTGTCCGCAGGGTTTCATTCCAGGTTTTTAGTCCCAGAACATGTCCGTCCATCCCAGTCCCTCCTCCCAGAGTAAGGTGACCAGACATCCGATTTTTAACCATTTGTCCCGCGTCCTGTGGCGTTTTAAAAAAGTCCCGATCTCTTAAAACGCCGCGGGACAAATTGTTAAAAATCGGTATGTCTGGTCACCTTACCCCAGAGTAATCCTGTCCTGGAGGAGCTGCACCCGCCCACACAACGCTCCTCCCCTCCGGCTATTCTTAATGCTTCAGGTCCAGTCCTCAACTCCCATATGGGCAAGTGGTCTTTTCAGCCCCCTCTGCCTCCCCTCCCCCTCCCCGCCCCAGTAACCTTAGACCCTAGCCTAGGTTCTGGACCTACTCCTTCCCTAGGGTTCCCGGGGCTGGGTACTCTGCCTCCACAGCCAATCCTGCTGAGATACACTGTTCCCAGGCCAAGTCCAGTCAAAGCCACACGCATATCACATTCTACACAGGGATTTCCGGATCACCCACGCTTGCTTTGAACATCCCAGGCCTAGTCTAGGTTTCTGACTGACTTCTACCCTGGGATTATAGCATCCAGAGACCGCCCCCCCCCCACCCCCCAAGACCATGAGGCCCCACCTCCTGTGCCCCTGCAGCCAATACCTGGCTGACTGCGAGTCCCACCCCATGTCAAGTGCCAAGGTGCGGCCTACCCAGGTCTCTAAACTGAATCCCGGGCTCCTCCTGCGCAAAGCACCGCCCTGGCCCCACCCCTTTGCTGCTTTTCTGGTTGTCTTTTCCTGATGTGTGTGTGGGAGGGCAGGGGTGGCCTCTGCCTGCAGTGATATCCTCCCTGCTGCCTCCCCCCACCCCTGAACCAGGTGGCCCTGCTGCAAATGATGGGGGCACAAGAGCTCACAGGGCAGGACGACACGCTGCAGGTGCACCAGCTGAAGATGAAGTGAGTGCCTCTTCCCAGTGGGCGGGCCATGCTAGATTTGCACACGGTCCAGGTGCTCACTCCCAACTAAGTATGCCCTGGGGCTGGCACCGTCAGACCCTACGGGTGTGCACACTGGAGTTCACACCTGGTGGTTCCCAGACACACAGCACATTCCCCTGGTGCACACTCCCTCCCATTTCCATACCAGACTCACTATTCATTTCCGGGACAGCTGCACGTCTCAGACACACCAACCCCACTCATGTGGCTGGACTTACAGCGTGGACACCGTCACCCAGACCCCACCAAGCACAAACCTGCACATTCCCGCCCTCAGCCCCCCAAACACATCCCGTCGAAATGTGCCAGTCACATTATACACCCTCCTGATGGCACCCACCCACCCGAGATGGCCTCTTCTCTCTGCCCACTGTGACCTACAGGCCCACCCCTGCTCCCGGGCACCCACATGGCCCTCCTGGCTCCTCATGCTACCTAGAAGCTTGGTGGTGGGCAGAGGGCCCAGGGCTTGCCAGTGGAGGCCAGCTTGCCCCGTCTGGGTTTTATTTATAGCTCCCGTCCACTTTTATAGGGTAATTAAAACCATGGAAGCCATCAGCGAGGTTCTCCAGGACCTCAGGTTCGATGCAGAATCTGCTGAGTGACGGTGACTCCCCAGGGACCCGCTGAGGGAGAGGGAAGTGAGTCAGGCGGCGCCCAGCTCTGACTGCGAGGCTGGATAAGCTGGAACCTCATGGGGCTGTGGGCCTTCCCCCTCCATGAGGTCACTTCCGCTCCCCAATAAAGAAACCTTCATCTGCAACCGCTCTACTGTCTCTGCATCTTGGAGTGCTGGGGTGTGTATACCTGTTAAGGGGGCCCTCAAAGGCAGGATGGAGGGTGGAAGACTCCCTCCCCCAAGACGGATGAAACTGGTGTTTTCAGTTACATTCTCCAAAGAGTTTAGAACCAGATAGTTCCAATCCTGGAGAGAAAGAACCTGAAATTCTGGGGGAATTTCAATTGCAAAGAGTCATTAGAAGTCCTCATGCCTCCCCTACAGTGCCCATCCCAGGCCTCTGTAGCCCCAAACTCACCTTCACAATCAGGGAACCTAAATAGCTCGTTTATTTAAAAAGATTCTTTGGAAGGAGATTCTGGTGAGGGAATTAATAACTCCTCTTCGCCCTCAGCCCTGGTAGGGGTCCTGGGCAGCTTTGCCAACCTTCACACACACACCCCCCCCCCACTGGGTGCACCCAAGGGGGCCTTGCATGGAGGCCAGAGATGTGATCCTTGAAGCTCAAAGTGCCCACTCCAGCTTCTGCCAGGTGTGCCTGGGCACCGTGAGGTGAGGGTATGAAGGTTGCCCAGTCTGGTTGCAGTCCTGGGTCTCCACGAAGCAGGGAGAGCGGCCTCCAGCCCCTAGAGCTTATCTGGCAGGACCTGCAAGCAGAGGTGAAGCCAGACTAAGCAGGGGATGCTACCAGGTGTCAGCACTGCAGAGCAATTTAGGAGCCCACTTTACCCCACCCACCTGCCATTCAGGTCCTGGCCGGCCCCTCCACTTTCAGCTGGGTGACTGGCTAGGGTACTGCCTCTCCCTGGGCCTTGGTTCCCATTGAAAAAGTAAGAATGTCTATCCCAGGGGGGTGTTCTGCAGATAAAGCCCTTGGCAAAGGCCCAGCATGCAGTAGGCGCTCAAACATGCTAACTTGGACCAGTATGTTCATTCCTGATTGCTTACTACGTAGGTTAAAAGCCACAGGGCCAGGCACATGTGATGCTAAGTAAATGCTAGTAAATAAAACAAGAATGAAAGGGGGAGTTATAGCCCACCCACCTGGACCCCCTTACCTCTCGCCGAGCCGCGTCTGCCCGAGGGCAGGATCCCCTCGTCCTGTGCTTGTAAGGAAGGAGGTGGTGTCGGAGGGGCTGCGCACCCACCTCCCCGCCCCACCCCTCGTCCCTTGCCCACGGGTCCCTCCTTCCTACCTGGTTGCGGGTCTTGTGCGACTTCTGCATCCAGGCCCTCCACTGGTCGTAGAGGCGGAAGCTGAGGTTGGAGCAGTACGCGTGCTTCTTGAGCCAGCCCAGGAACTGCTTGAGCTCGCGCCGCACCGGCCCCGAGCTCGGCTCTCCGCCCCGCGGTTCGCACGCCCCGCCGCCCGGGCCCGGACGCTCTGCGGAGGGGGAAGCTGCGGCGTGAGGGCGCGGCCGGCAGAGGGCGCGCGCGGACAGCGGAGGGAGGGTCCCTGCGCGGTGGACCGCGCTCCCCTCGGGCACCTCCCCCCATTTCCCCGAGACCGCGTCCTCCCCACCGCCCAGCCCAGCTGCGCCCCCGAGGAGGTGGGGGGTAGGGGAAGGAAGGGGCTCCTCCTCCACATCTCCTCCAGGAACCCGATTCCTGTGGTCGGAGCCAGGTGTGAGTGGAAGGGGCTGGGGGAGAAGGTGAGAGGCCAAGGCCGGAGGGACCAGACAGAGCAGGGGGCAGGGAAAGGGGGGAAGATACAGAGGCAGAGACTGAGAGGTGGGGACAAGGAGAGACAGGAGGCGCAGGGAGGACCAAAGCCATGGGGGTCAGCCAAGGAGATTGAGGGGGGGAGGTGTGAAGAAAGTGGGGTACGGGGGCACACACACACACACAAAAAGACAGACAGACAGACAGAGGGGGAGAGAGTGCCAGACAATCCTAAGGAGACAGCCCCTGGGAGTATGAGCCAATGGGACCGGGAGCGGGTGGGAGGGCCAGGTGGGAGGACCGCCTGCCGGTCCAGCTGCTGGACTCCGCTGGCCCTGAACAGGCCGGCGGATAAGGACATCGGCCTCACGTCATAAATAACACAGGGGACCCGCTGACAGGCCCTGGCACAGCCCAGGCCCCTGCTGGCCTCCCCCAGCCTCCCCAGCCTCCTCTGCAGACGCAGCCGCCTGCTGGCTCCCGTGCAAGAATCGCAGGTGCTGGGCACGAGCAGGGGCCAAGGCTCAGCCCCTCCCAGTCATGCTAGCTCCCGCCCATCCCAGAACCTGGAAGGCCCCGCATTGGGGGCGGGGGAGCTGGCTGGAGCTAGGCTCTGCCCCTCCCTGGTTCTGAGACCCTCTCTGGGCCTTGGTATCCCCTCATCCCAGGGGTGAGCATGGGCCTGGCTTTCCAGCAAAATGAGTTTAGATTCCTGTATGATCTTGGGGGCTGGCTAAACTTACTGAGGCCAAAGTGTCCTCATCTAAGAAAAGGAGGCCTTGCCTAAACCAGTTGGGCTCAGTGGATAGAGCGTCAGCCTGCGGACTGAAAGGTCCCGGGTTCGATTCCGGTCAAGGGCACATCCCCAGTTGGTTGTGGGGTGCAAGAGGCAGCTGATTGATGTTTCTCTCTCATCGATGTTTCTAACTCTCTATCCCTCTCTCTTCCTCTCTGTAAAAAATCAGTAAAATATATTTTTTTAAAAAGAAAAGGAGGCCTACCTTGGGGTGAAACCATGGGGGGCAGGGGGGAGCAAGGGAAGGGGGCCTTTGGTAGTGCTCACAATGAGGGCACTTTTTCATGGGTTATCACATCCCAATAGTCTGTACAACAGTCTGAGATAGGAGTCATTTTCATCCCCGCTTTCCAGATGGGTAAGCTGAAGCCAGACATTTCAGTGAACAGATTTCATATCTTTTCACAAAGGAGAGAAAGGAGGTCCAGGTCCGTGGGCTCAGAGGAACCCCAGATGGCAAGGGGAGCCAGACCCAGGACCCTGATCCCTCCCAGCCCCCTACCTGAATCCGAAGGGGAAGCTGAGGCCCATCAGAGAGAGAGAGTTGGCAGCCCATCCGCCTTGGAAGCAAGGGTCTCAAACTCATTTGCCCTTAGGGGCTGGGGAGGGGGGTACAGGTTGGTGAAATGGGCCAGTTGGGGGTGAGGCAACTTGCAAGACAGGACCCGGCACAAAGGGGCAAGCCTTTGCTCAGAGGGGCTGTGGAGCAATGCTGGCTGTGTCCTGTTACGTTTTCTAGGCAATTTTTCTAGGGAATATAGGATGTTTTTTGTCAAAACATCCTGTTTTTAAATGTCTGCAAGTAGGTTAAAAAAAATCTTTGGGTATTTTTTGTGTGTGTTTGTGTGTGTGTGTGTGTGTGTGTTGTGTGTGTGTGTTGTTTGTTTTTCAAACAACAGGTGAAAGAAAATAGATCCAGGGGCCAAATTCAGCCCTGGGGCCACCAGTTTGAGACCTCTGCGTTCCTGGAAAAACAAAACAAGAAAACCCAGGAAGCCCAAGCCCAGGCTGGTTGAGGGCCGGTCCCATAACCACCCAACCTCGTTGGGGTGCTCACCGCTGCGGGGGGTGGAGGCGGCCGTGGGGTGGCTCCACTCACTCCAGATCCCGGCCTTCTTGGAGCCGTAGATGCCAAAGGGGTTGCAACGCACTTGCACGAAGTAGACGGTGCCCGGCTTCAGGCCCGCCAGGCGGCACGAAGTCTGATTGCTCACGTCGTCCACCACCTGGGCCAAGGGCAGGGTCAGAGGCCAGGCCAGGGGGCGGGGCGGGGCCGGGGGCGGGGCGGGGCGGGGCCGGGGCGGACACCTTCCAATCCACGCTATCCTCCACGCGGTAGCGGATCTGGTACTTGGCTTGGAAGAGGAAGTCCTTGAGGGCGGGCGGGGAAACCCAGCGCACGCTCAGCTGGTCCTCCAGGCCCCCAACTCGGCTCACGTGCACGTCGGGCGGGGGGTCGGTGGTCACTGCCAGGCGGGGTGGAACAGGGCTTAGTCATGGGCCCCTGGGACCCGGCTGGCCCCTGTCTGGGTCCAAATCCCAGAGCATGTGGCTTAGGTGGCACCTGCTTCCGTTCGCCTCCCCTTTCCCCTCTCCCCCCCTCGAGGATGGTGGATTACATTAGACAATATTCAGGAAACACTCAGCGCCAGAAGCACTCAATTAATGTTAGCTGTTATCACCATTATTATCTGTGACAGGAGAAACATAATCCTATCTTCAGGGAGTTCTGCAAAAGCAGACACCGCCCGGCCGATGATATTATTATTATTATTCCCAGGAGGCCAGGGGACCATCACCACACACCTCCGCCACCTTCCGCCTTACAGAGGTCCTCAGTAGGCAGGGTGCGGAGGGACCACTGGAGCTGAGGACATGCCCACCGCAGCGTCCAGACTTAAGGAAGCGAAGCGGGAAGGCTGGGGTGGGGGTGGCTCCGAGCCAGGATGGACCTGGGGTCCTGGGAGCCCTGTGGGAAGCAGGGAGAGCTGGCTCTCTCCCTGAGGCCTTGGTGAGGGGCCGAACGGGTTAAGGCACAGGCCTGCTCCGGGCTGAGCAACACCCTAATTAGATTAAGCCCAATTCTGCTGCAGATCATCCATTTCCTGCCTCCTGCCCGCCCCCCCCCCACCCCACCCCGGCTCCAGACTGTGGCTTCCTGGGGTGCCTCAGACCTGGACAGCCCCTCCCAGGCGGGGAGTGAGGTCTCCCTGGAACACCTGGGCCGAGGAGGAGGGGGCCCGGCCAGGTGTTCTCAGCGGAGTGGAACTCTCCTGGCTGATTCAGGGGGGCTAGAGACTGACGGGTAATCCCTGTCCCAATCAGCAGATGCAGCCATGACTGGGATGGCGGAGGCGGGGGGGGGGGGGAGGGGGCTAGGGGGGAGGGAAATGGCAGAGAGGAGGGGGGGAATGGCGGGGAGTTTAGAGGGCAGGGTGGAGGGATCCCCCCTGGGAGGTGCCTCACCCACATCCAGGATGTCCAGTGTGAGCACATCTGAGCGAGCCGAGCCCAGCCTGTTGGTGGCTTCCACCCAGATCTCGTAGGGGGTGAAGAGGGCCAGGTCCTTGGGGATGTGGCAGGAGTGGGGTCCCACGGTGTGGTACTCCTCACATGTGTTGTCCTGCCCATACCACCTGTGGGGGCAGGGGGATGGAGAGGACACATGGGGGTCCCTGAGGGGCCTCAGGCCTCACTAGGGCAGTCCCAGAGTACAGACAGAACACTGAGCTCAGAGGGCAGCCAGGCTTGGCAAATGCCTCACCGCCAGGCTGAGATCCATATCACCCAGAGCCGTCACCAACCTCAGCTTGTACTTCAGGGAGTAGTTGGTGTGGAGGAAGGTCTCCCCGTGGGCCCCCGGCGTCCAGCGGCAGGTCAGGTCCTTCATGTTCTTGGACCAGCAACTGATGTTGAAGGGTTTCTCTGGGGGCACTGAGGAGAGGGTGCAGGGCCTGAGGGTCTGGGCTGGCTGTGGATAGGCAGAGGAGCTGCTGGTCGCCAGCCAGCCCCACCTCAGAGTGGGAGGAGGGCGGACGGTGGATGTTGGTGTGACCCCTTGCGTGAGTTCTCTTGGGGACCACGGGGGAGGGGGTGCCTCCAGGCTTTCATTCCCACCCAGAAGCCCATACCTCTCAAGTGCGCATGCCCACCATCCAGCCCTGGGCCAGAGGGCCCACGATCCATGCCCCTCCGGGGGGAGGTGCTGCTCCCAAAGGCTACCCCTGAGCGTCCTGGGGGCCACTTACGGCCAACATAGAGGCAGGAGCCCGCTAGGATGCTGCCGTCTTGAGCGTGGCACACGAGGTTGTCCCCCGACTGCTGCCTGGATCCGTTGAGGTTGGCCAAGGCGAGGGCCAGGGTGGAGGCGTTGAGTATGCGGGAGAGCTCGGGGGGCAGGCGGCGCCCATTGAGGGTCCAGTAGAGGCCCTCTGCAGTAGGGCCCTGCGGGTCCCCGCGCACTGAGCACGTGGCCTGCAGGGAGGAGCCGATGAGGAGTGTGGGGTCCTGGGGACTGATCACAGCCGTGTCTGGGGTCAGAGAAGAGGGCCTATCAGGCCTGGGATAGAGCTGCCCTGAGACCACCACGCTAGGACCTCGGGGATTCATGACAAGCCCGCAAAGGAGCTCTTTCCTAACACTCCCCTTTTACAGATGAGGAAACTGAGGTTCAGTGATAATTCATTCAAGCCACTTCATCACGGACCAACTCAAGGTTCTGAGCGGTTACAAACCTCAGACAGAAATGTCCACTCACTTCTACCCTAAATATTATATAGCAATGTTTTTTATTTGGGAGTTGAAAAATAAAGACATCATTAAAAAAAAAAAAAAAAATGTCCACTCACTGCCAAAACCGGTTTGGCTCAGTGGATAGAGCGTCGGCTTGCAGACTGAAGGGTCCCGGGTTCATTCCGGTCAAGAGCATGTACCTTGATTGCGGGCATATCCCAGTGGGGGGTGTGCAAGAGGCAGCTGATCGATGACTCTCTCTCATCGATGTTTCTAGCTCTCTATCTCTCTCCCTTCCTCTGTGCACAAAATCAATAAAAATATAAAAAATTTTATTTTAAAAAAATGCCCACTCACATTCAAGTCATTCTTGCTCTGCATATAGTTCTGGAAAACCCTACGCTTTGCTTTTAAAAACAATTATTTTAATAGCCTGAGGGTCTCCCACACAGTAGGGGGAATTCCCTATAAAAATCTTGCTCTTTTATAGATTAAAAAATAACAACAAGGCTCTGAGAGATTAAGCCCCCTGCCTAAAGTCACTGACGGAGAGAAGGGCCTACTATTCAAACTCACATTTGCCTGTCTCCAAAGTCCTACTCTGTGTTGGAATGGAAGGTGGCTGGGCAAGTTCTAGACCCCCAACCACCATTCAAAGGGACTTGACTCAGCCCCTTAACTCAATCTGTCCTTTGACTCAATTTTCCTAATCTGAAAAATGGGAACAAGAAAGTTCCCAGTCCCCAGGTCCATTACGATGATTAGATTCTGGGACATGACTTCCTAAACTGGTTTCTGTGAGCTGGGTGCTGAGCGCTGATGCCTCTCCGCCTGCTGGCCATTGGGGGTAGCCCAGGGCTCTTTTTTCTGAAAATGAGAACCTAAGAGGAGATTGTTTTACCCATAGGGAAACCAAGAGCCAGGAAAGGGGGTGGGTACTTACAGTCCAAGACCCTGAAACCCTGCCCGGAGTCTCAATCTCCCTATCTGGGAAGTAGGCATCAAAGTACCAAACACATGCAGTTGTTTGAAAGGAATGAAAACACTGTCGTCAGCACAGCCCTGTGGGACTGGGTTCGAATGCCCTCAGCTCGCTATGGAAATTCAGTCCGGGCACTTTACATCTCTGAGTCTCTGGGAAGGAGCCTCTCTCTTTCCACCGAGAGCAGTTAGTTGTGGGGACTCATTCACTCACTGGCTCAATCCTTCCTTTATTGATCACCTACAGTGTGCCAGGAGTGGGGGCACCATGGTGACCAAGATACCCAAGACTCTGGCCGGCCCTGGTGGTCCTTGAATCCAAGAGAGCAGCAGGGAAAATAGAAAACACAAATAAATATCTAAGAGAAGAAACAGGGAGAAAGTAAAGCACCAGTCATTAGTGCAGCTCAATGGCCCCGGAGGCCTGTCTAGGGAGATGGCATTTGAGCTGAGACGGGAATAAAGTGAAAGAAGTAGCCATGAAAATATGGAGGAGAGAGTATCCAGGCAGGGGAACAGCAAGTACAAAAGTCCTGGGGCAAAAGTACTAGGAAATGAGGTCTGGGAGGTCAGCAGGGGACTGACTGGCAGGGAATATTCCTGGGTTCTGAAGGGGGTGGGTAGTGATTAACATTTTTAAAAGATCCCCAAGCAACTGTAAGAAGAGACTGCGGGGGGGGGGGGGGGGGGGGAGACAGAGGGACAGAGGGGAGAGCAGCCCAGCTTCCTTGAGATGGCAGCCAAGGACAGGATGATCCTGGCCCCCTGGGGTGTCCCCTCCCCCAAAAAAAACCCAGGGGCTGCCTTGTGTTGGTCTTCACTGCCCAGATGGGAGAGGTGGTGTGGACATGGCTCCAGGGGCCAGCTCTGACAATTTTCTGGGGCAAACTTGGCTTGAAGGCCATGTCTTGCTAGAGCCTAGAATCACAGTTGCTTTTGAGGCTTGGCCCAGGGCTCTCCGGAGGTCTCAGCATCCGTGCGAAGGAGCCGGCTGAGCGGGCCAGAGCCCAGGAGGCGGGGTTGGGGTGGGGGGGAGGACAGGGGGCCGCCCGCCCCGGAGGTCCCAGGCAGCCAGCCGCTAGCTAATTCGGAATTCCTCCGGCATGAACTCGGGCGTGCCAGCATCTCTGCCCCGGCCCACCCACCACTTCCTGCCTGCCCCCACCCCCAGCAGGGTGGGAGGCAGGGACAGGCCAGGCCTGCCCAGACCCAGACCCACTCCCAGTCCGAGGGAATGGGTTACATCCCTTCTGCAACCCCCCCCCCCCATATTCACAGCCTGGTCAGGAAAGGGCTTTCTGGGGGGTCCTGGCCAGGGGGCATTGCCCCTCTGCCACACCCGCCTGGCCTGAACTAGTGTTGCCCGCATGCCAGCAGCTGCAGCTGCCCTCCAAGGGCTGGGCGGGGGACGGGGCGAGAGGGCAAGGCCAGGCGGGCCTGGACAGGCCACCCCCCCTCCCCCCACAGCTCCAGTAGGATAGGTCAGAGGGAGGCCTTCTTCTCCGGGGACGTGAGAGCCAGTTCCAGCTGGAGCACCTGGGCAATTGTTTTTCCCTCTCCGGTTCTCAGTTTCCCCTTCCATAAAATGGGAGGAAAATACATTCTACCTGCTGGGGAGATGAATGAGATGAGATCAAGAGGTCCAAAGTGCCTAGGAACTATTAGGATGAAAGCCCCTCCCAGCTCTGGGGTTCAGGCTCCCCAAATAATGGGCCAAGGCACTCAGGACTGGGGTGCACACATTCCTCGAGGAATAGCCCATGAGGTTGGGGGGCTCTTGGCCTGGTTTGGGGGCCTCCTGGAAGGCTCCCCGAAGCAGATCCCTGGGCTAGCCTTTTGGACAGCCTTCCCACGCTACATCCCTGTCTCCGCGCCGTTCCCACAGAGCAGAGGCCTTTAAAAGTTTTTTCCTTCCCCACTTCCCGATCTGGAGCCACTGCTGTTATTAAAAAGGAACACCATGTGTTTTAAAAGGGAAAAGTGTGAGATTCTCTGCAAGCAATACAGGAGGGTGGCCTCCATCCTGGGGTCCCTACAGGGGTCCCCATCTCCCATCCCCCTGGTACCTGCTGACACTTTACAACCCACCCGCCTGCTGGTCTGGTCAGGTGCTAAGACACACCGTAAGTAGAAACATATTGCCAAGGTGTGAGAATCTTTTATTTAATTTCTTCCCCTCAAAGAAAAAAACTCACGAACACCCCCCCCCACCACCACCACCACCACTTTCCCCGCTGCTCTACAGGCTGGGAAACAAAGCCTGCCATGAACACCGGCACTCCAGGCATCAGGGACCTGGGGAGGGCCTAGGGCAGCCGCTCACCTGCCCAAGCAATCTGGGCTCTTGGGTTTTCAGCAAATTCCCCCAGACCCTGCCCTCTCTGGAGGAGCCCTGCAGTGAGCCTGCAGACAGCTCTTTGCAGTGTGGGGAGACCTAGCAGCCCTGTGTGTCCACCTGGGGCAACCTGCGTGCGTGGACGGGTGTGTGGAGTGACGCATGCGTGTCCGGGGCGGCTGTGCCTGTGTATGTGTTCCTGTGTTCTATTCCTTAAGGAGTAAGTGTGTGACCATGAAAGCGTGTGTGCCAGGGATGGAATGTGTGTGCGCCCCGATGGTGTGCGAATGTGCATCTGGGATGCAGTGTGTGCGTCTGAGGGCGAGGGTGATGGGCCACAAGCCAGTGTGTCTTTGTGTGTCTCTGGGTGTGTCCTAGAATGGGTCTGGATATAGAGCCTGTGTCCTGGAGGGGGTCTGCGTGCTGTGGAGGACAGAGAGTGCTTGCCGCAGGCCAAGAGCTCCCGTCGGGGGCGGGGGTCTTGGCCTGCCAGGCTGTGGGTTTGCGGGGAGGGAGAGGGGGGCCCACCGCGGTGCCCGGACTCCCTGGCTCCCGATTCCTCTCCCTCTCGCCCCACCGGCTCACAAAGATTTCCCTCGCTGGAGGCTACCAGCCGGGCGCAGCCGGGCCGGGAACGGTTCGGAGCGGACCCAGTGGCTGGAACTCCGTGGACCCCCGCGAGCAATGTCCCTCTGGGGGAGGGCGGCGGCGCCGGCCCGCGGAGAGGCGCGTCCCCGGGGACCCCGGGCCGCGCGCCAGGCGGCCAGAGCCGCCCCCTCCCTCCCCGCCTTCCTCGCGGGGCTCATCCCTCCACCGGGGGCGGGAGGGGGTGCTTGGGGCCGGCACCCAGCGCGTTTTCCGCGTGCGCCCCCGCCCAGGACCCGTGCCCCGCGCGGTCTCCGCGGCTCGGAGTCTGCGGACGCTGCTGCGTGCGCCCGCCGCGTCCCAGCATGCAGAGGGTCCCAGGACGCGGGCCCCCCAAACTCCGGGGGGCCGCGCCGGGCGTCTGGGGCCGGGCCGGACGTCCTCGGCCCGGCGGCCCAGGTAAGGCCTCGGGCGCGAAAGCTGGACCCTCGGGCCGGCGGTCTGCTGCGCCGTGCGCCCCGCAGGTGAGGGCGCCCCGAGGGCCGTGCCGGGGGCGCCTTCCTTTGTTCCCGGGCCGTCCAGGTGGCGCCTGCGCTCCCTCCCCTCCCGCCCCCCCGCGGCTTCCCCCGGGGCGCACGCTCCCCGCCCAGGCGGGAAGGGGGGAGCGGGGCGCTGGGTACTCACGGGCTCCCGATCCGCCTCGCGGAGCCCCGAGGACGCAGAGGAGCAGCAGGGGCAGCAGCGGCGGCGGCCGCCGCGCGGATTGGGCGGCGGGGCCCGGGCGGCCGGCGGGCATGGGGCCGGCGCTGCCGGGGGCGCGCGGCGGGCGACGGCGGCGCGGGGCACGGGAGGGCGAGGACCGGGCAGCCCGCACGTCTCCGGGCGCGGGCGCGGAGGCCAGAGCAAGTCTGAGCAGCCGAATTGACAAGGCGCTAATGCGCCGCTGGCCCCGCCCGGCCCCGCCCCCGGCCCGGGGTGGGGGGGAGTGGCGGCCCCGCACCGGCTCCTCCGCCGCCCGCCTGCCCGCGGGCACCGCGCGCCCCACCCGTCCGGCCTCCGCCCTGCCGCACACCGCGCGCTCTCCGTCCCGCGGCCCAGAGCCCCCTCCCACCCAACCCCTACCGGCCTGGGACCTTCCATTCGGACCCAGACAGTTCTAGGTTCCTTACCCCACCCCCAGGGTGGGACCTGGCGCCCCTACAGCGTTCCCATATCCCCGCACACTTCTCTGCACTCTGCTGTCAGCCTCGTGCCCCTTCAGGGTCCCCTGTGGCCCTCCGCCCTGGCCCCTCCTGTCCCCGCAATCGTCTGTGTTTCAGCCTGCACCACAGCTCCGGTCCCGTCGCCCCACCGAGTGGTCCCTGAGCCCCGCCTGCTTCCCCCTCCAGGCCCCCTTCCTCGCCAGGGGCCTGAAAGGCGCTCCCTGCTCGCCCCCACGCCGCCGGCCGCGCGCGGGTCCTATCCGTCCGGGCCCAGCGGACCCCCTCTCCCTGCATCCTGCCTCCTCCGTCCTCACGGCAGCCTCCGGCCCAGGCTCTGCTGGAGGGAAGACGCAGAAAAAGCTGGAAGCGCGGAGTCCCTGGCGCTCACTCTGGCTCTGTGGCCACCCCCCCTCGAGCGGGATGGGGCTGAGGTTCCTCAGGGGGCCTGGGGGCCTCAGGAGGGAGCTCCCGCGTGGGCAGACAGGGGGAAGGGGCCCCTGTGGGAGCGGGGACGCGGCCCTGTGCGGGTCCTGCCCGCTGGCAGAAACGATGCCCGGGAGGAGAGCGGCGAGGAGGCCCCCCAGACTCACTGACACCCCCCCCCACGGAAAAATCCGCTCAGCGGCCCCGCGGGTGGGGTGCGCCACGCAATGAGTAATCGCTCCGGCGGCCGCCGCCCGCTGACTCCAGGTAACGCCGGCTGCCGGGAGCGATGCTAGGCTGCCTTCCTATTTTTTGCGCAGGAATTCTCTGTGTTATTATTTTTGGCTATTGCTTGGGTTTCGGCCCCCCCCCCCCCTTCCAGCCCGGACGCCTCATCCCCCTCCTCTCCGCTCCTGGCCGATCGGTGCGCCCAGGATGAAAGGGTTCCTGAACCCAAGGCCAGGAAGGAGAGTTCCTGCCCGGCGGGCGGCGATTTGGGTGGAAGCCCCGCCCCCGGCCGCTTGCCTGAAAGGAGGTCTCTAGCTCTCCTTTCCCTGGGTTCCCTGAGCCTGGACCTTCCCGCAAGTCCCTAACCGGGGAAGGGGGTAAACGTGTCTGAAGGGGCTCAGCAACTTCCACCTTGTTTGCTCCAGGCTGTCCTCCACTCCTGCTACTTGGGTCTTCAACTGAGAACCCAGACTGTCAGATAATAAAATTGGGGGTTGGAGTCCTGGGGACTCTACACAACTGCCCCCCCCCCTGCCCCAATCTGGACTTTAGATGGGTTTGGGCTTTTACTGGAACCACCCAGGCCTCTGCCTCAGTTTCCCCCTTGGCACAGTGGGTGACTGCTTGGCAGCCTAAGGGTTTCTGTGGAAAGATGCAGTGCAGCAGAGGGCCCCACAATCTAAGAGCTTAGCATGGCACTGAGCACTGAGGACATGTGATTTCAGAGCAGAGGTGGTCCCCAGGCCTCAGTTTGTCACCTCTGAAAAATGGGCCCGTAATCGCACCTGCCACTGGGCGGTCCAGAGGGTGAAGGGGAGGTGGCAGCTCTTGTACGGAATTGTGTTCAGGGTATGTGCCACCCATCCCCACTCCCCTTCAAAGTTTGACTCCCTCTTTGGAAGACTTCAGGCTTCGGGAGGAAAATCTTGATATTTCCCCTCAATCTCTATTCCTCCCCAAGTCATCCCTGGGTCTTAGGAAAAAGCTCCCCCATCCACCCAGGTGCTCAGGCCAGAGACCTGGAGGCGTGCGTGACAACTCTCTCCTTAGTGCATCCCCCACGTCCCATCCATCAACAAATACTGTTGGCTCTGATTCCAAAATACATCCCCATCCTGAGATTCTGACCCCCTTCTTCCTACCACATTTGGGTCTACGCCCCACCATCTCCCTCTGGGGTGTCCCTGGTTTCCTCTGGGGTGACCTTGACCCCATACCTTCCCCATAATCTTCTGTTCCCCGTCTGCATTGCAGGCAGAGGGAGGGAACTTTTAAAAGAAGTGAAGCAGGTCTCCTCTGCCCTGCTACATTCTTCCCTCCCTCCCTTCCTCTTCTCCACCTTCCTTTCCCCTTTCCTCTCCCTCACCACGCTCCAGCCACTGCAGCCCCATTCCCCCAAACGCACCAGGCAGGGTGTTTGTACGGTTGCTGTTCCCTCTGCAGGAGTGCAGTTCCCCCAAATCTTGCCCCAGTTAGTGCTTTCTCTTCCACCAGGTCACAGGTCAAGTGCTGTTGTCTTCTTAGAAAGACCTCCCACCCCTCCCAAGCACTCTCTATCCCTTTCCGCCCTTTAAATGGTTTTTGTAACAAGCTCTTCAAACATCAGCTTTCTCTGGTGACTTATTTCCTGTAGACTGTGAGCACCTTGAGAGACATTAGGACCCTCCTATTGGGTCCAGGACAGGAGAAGAGCTCAGTGAATATTTGCAAAATAAAAAGATAGAGAATGCTCAGTCCCTTCAAGCAGCAAGAAAACTCAGTCCAAGTGTATCATGTTGCCTAGAGTCCTAGCCAGGCCTATGCCCCTGAAGTGCTGTGTGACGCAAGCCAGTAGCCACCCCTTTCTGGTCCTTACCGATAAAAGGGTATGGATCCTTTGGGTTTCTCAATCCTGTCCAACCCTGTCCTGAAGTGTGCCCTCTGCCCTTTGGATGACCTTGACCCTATACCTTTTACTTTAAGGAAAGAATTGACCTTTGGATGCACCCTTCCTTAACCTTGGTGTCCCTGGGACTTAACCCCTTCTCCCCCAGTTACACCACCTCTTCTTCCCCAGTTGCACCACCTCAAAGGAACCAGCATTGACAGAACTTCTAGCAAATATTGACCCAAGTCCTTGAAGGTGGCTGGGAATGTACTGAGGGGGGCAGATGGAGGGAGGGCCCCACATGGGCTAGGGGAGGGGTTCCTCCTTAGTCGTTCAGTCTCTGCACCTAAGGATTAGGTTGGGGGAGACCCTCCAGCCCCAGCTCCCTGCGTCATTCCAGGGCTCTGAGGCGCCCCTGGGCGGAGGCCGTGGTTACAGCACCTTTAAGGTCCCATAGAGACCCAGAGCCAGTAGGAATGAGGAGGGCACAGAGCTGTCTCTCCCTTGAGACACCATCCCCACCCCCATCCCCTGCTTAGGACTCAGCATGAGATTAGCTGCCTTTTGGTTCAGGCCAGTGTTCCCAGGAAGTGGTGACAGTGAGGTTCTGGACCTGGACTGGGGGTGGGTGGGGGTGGGGAGCAGCAGAATAAGGTTCAGGACCTGTATGCCTAAGACGTGGTGCTTTGTCATATCCACCCAGGAGGCTGAGTCTGGGGAAGTGGGGTGCCTGGGTGACAGGCACGGGTCCAGGTCAGGGCCAGTGCGCTGAGCCTGAGCTCCGACTCCTCCTGCACTCTGGGGCGCTTGCGCTGGTGGAGTCCAGGAGGCACTGACGGTTGTGGGGAGACATTGTGCCCTTTTCCCCTGCCTCCCCACTGTCAGCAATCGCTGGCGCCACGAGGCCGTGCTTTCTACCCATCCTGACCCTAACTTGGGGGTGGGGGTCAGCGGGGTCGTGGTGAGGGCGGCAAGGGACAAAGGGCGCTTGTGCGATGCCCGCTCTGACCGCAGCCGCCGCTTCCCGGACGCCGGGCTCTGCTGATTCACACCCAGCCCGGCCGCAGCGCCCCCCCCCCCCGCCTGCAGCCCCCACCGGGCCGCCCCAGGGGGTAGGAAGTGGGGGGGGGGCGAGGGGCGGCGCCGAGTCAACTTTCCCTCTTAAGCCCCGAAGGAATGTCGGCGGATTTCCTGAAATCCGACCCTGGCCGCCCGCCGGCCCTCCCGCCCCTCACCTGGGCCCGCTCCCTCGGGAACCACGGGAGGGGCGAGTGGGCTCACCTGGGGGGCCGAGGTCAAGTCCTCCTTCCGCTCCGGCCCCCCGCAGCCTCGTGGAGCTGAAAGGGGGGCGACGGCGGCAATCAAACCTTCTTGCTCCTCTCGGGAGACCTGGGCCAGCGGTCCAGCCCCTCCTGCCTCAGTTTCCCCTTCCGCAGGACTCGCATGTACTTCTTTTTTTCCGTTCGAGACGACGCCTTGTATCCCTGACGCACGTCCACCCCCGATCCTGCCGTCTTTTGCTGCTCTTGTCTCCTGGACCGACACCCCAGTCCACCCCGAGCCTCAGTTTCCCCGCCTGCACCTTGGGGAATGCTGCCAGCACCTCCTTACAGATTTATGACAGGAGAATGCCGGGGGAAGATTTTGTTTGCGGTGCTTGCAGGACGGTGATTGTGGAAGGCGTGAGCGCTCGGGGCTCTGGAGCTGACATGTGTGGGCTTGAGTCCCGGCTCTGCCGCAGGGGCCTGGGCCCGGGGTTCCCACCGGCGACGAGGGCCGCGGCCCGGGCGCGGGGCCGGCGCGCGGTAGGTTGGACGCGGGCTCCCCCCGCTCGCAAACCGCAGCCGAAGGCCCCGCCGCAGGGTCGCCGCGGCCTAGCCGGGAGGGGAGGGGGAGGGGCGCGCCAGGATCCAGATGTTCGGGGTTCACCCGGCACAGCCGCGCCTGATTAAGCCACGTGGGGGCCGGCCGGGGCCGCGGACATGAAAGCGGGGCGGCCGGCCGGGGAGAAAGCGTGCGCCATTCCAAATTTCCCTCCCGCCCCCCCCTCCACCTCCGTTCCTTCCTCCTGGGCCGGAACCTGAGGCGCCCATTGACCCGACGACCCCGCGGGGCTGCCGCCCGGTCTGCGGGGGCGGAGCTGGAAGGGGCGCGGGAGGCCTCCGGGCCTGGGCAGGCACCTGTGAGGGGCACGCTGGGGAGAAGGGGTCGTTTTTGCAGGAGACCCGGATTTGGAGGGGCACCCCCATTCCCATGCCTGGCAGAGAGGGAGCTGGGGTTGCCTGACGCTAGATTCACTGGGCTGCCATTCCTCACCTTGGGAGGGGTACGGCTTTTATGGAAACCAGAAGTGTCCGTCTGCCCTAAGTTTTCCCAAGACAATTAGAAAATGTAACAGCGCCCCCCACTTCCCTCTATGCCCCACCCCACTCAGTGCGGGGCCCAGAGGGGACACTCCCCCTCAGTCTGGGGGAGCAGGGGCCGATCCCTCAGATGTGTGGGTCAGGGCTGGGCTGGAGGAGGGTGAGGCTGGGGGAGCCCTGGACGGGCTGGGAGGGCTTCCAAAGAAGGCAAACTGCTCACAGGTTCCCGCCCCCCCCCCCCCCCGACTTGGGTGTCAAAGGAGATAAAGGCGGGGACCTTCCCAAACTTGCAACGGTCAGACGCTTCATTCCCATTCTCTAGGCTTCAGCCTCAAATCCGTCTCTCCGGACAAGCCCCTCCCATTCCAGGTTCCTCGCGGTCCTTCTGACTCGGTGGCCTGTTTTGGCCAGCTCAGACGTAGCCTCTTCCGGGAGGCCCTCCCTGATACTCTGGCAAATAGATTCATCCTCTATCTCATCTTTCCTTTTGTTCCCCTTTGGTCCCTAGCTCCGGCGGAGACCCTCTCTCCAGTGGGTACCAGGGGCCGCGATCCACCTGCCCGCATCCCTAAGGTGCAGCCGCTCCGCGGCCCCGCCCGTTCTCCGCATCCTCCGCTCCCTCCCCCCCCTTCCCAGGCTGCCTCACTCGGGTGACGTCAGCGCCTGGGACCCCGCAGCCGCCGCAACCTCCGCGCCTGCGGGAGCCGACGTCCTGCACCCCTAGAGCCGGCGCAGCCATGGCTCCGGTGGTGTTGGCGCAGCTGCTGCTCCTGCTGCTGCTGCTGCTGCTGCCTCCAGCCGCCGCGCCCGCGCCGCTCGCCCGCGACCCCTTCTCCTCGCAGCTCGGGGACACGCAGAGCTGCCAGCTGCGGTGCCAGAATCGCCACCCCAGACTGCAGCCCCCGCAGGTAACGCGCATGCGGCGCCAGCCTGAGGCCCCGCGACCTCCCGAAGCAGGAGCGGTTGGGGATGCGGGTCTCTCTGTTGGGGGCACGAGATGGGCTCCTAGGAGGGTTAGGCGGTCAGAAAGGGGGGTTGTCTCTCTGGTGGGGGAGGGGCTGGGTCTCCTGGATGGGAGCCAGCGCAGGCACCCGGGTCCCCCGAAGGGATGGGGATGTTCCTGCTTTGGGGGATGGCCTGGGGAGGGGGGGAGGGCGTCCCTGCGATGGGAGAGGGTATTGAGGTCCAATCCCTCAGATGAATGCGGGGTTGCTAGTGGGGGAGGGGTAGAGCGAACGAGGACTGAGGATCCTAATGCCACCTGGCGGCTCTGGTTAAACTCTGCTGCGCAAGGACCCTGGGGTGCCCAATCTGCACCCCCCTCAGGCCATACAGGGCTCCTCCTGCTCGCCCACCCAAGCAGCTTTCATATATTCCTCCCTAAACCCACTCAGAGCAACCAGCCCCCACTTGTACCTCCTCCCCTCCACCCCCCAAAGCTGGATCCCAATTTCCCCAGGTCTGAAGGGTGACAGAGCTTTTTCAGAGCACCTTTCTCGGGACTGAGAATCCTCCTCAACCTCCCCTCTCCTCCCTGGAGCCTTTCAGGGCCCCCGTTTCCCTCCATCTTCCCTAGTTTTCTAACCTTTCCTGAAACCAGTGTCCTCCACTGTCCACCTTCCTCCTGAAGCCCAGTTTCCTTTTTGTGTTCCTCAGAGCTAAGAGCCCCTCACTAATATTTTTAGCCTCATCCTAATGTCCCTAGATTTGAGGAAGGAAAACCAAATCTTTAAAAAAAAAAAATATATATATATATATATATATATATATATATATATATTATTAATTTTTTTTTTCAGGGACAAAGTGAGAATGATAGCGTGTCAGAAACATCGATGAGAAAGAAACATCGACCAGCTGCCTTCTGCGCACTTCCTGCTGGGGATGTGCCCACAACCAAGGTACATACATGCCCTTGACCTGAATCGAACCTGGGACCCTTCAGTCTGCAGGCCAACGCTCTATCCACTGAGCCAAACCAGTCAGGGGGGAAAACCAAATCTTACACCTCCTCCTCCTGTGCCCCATGCTGGCCTGAGCCCTGTGTCCTCTTCTCAGGAGAAACTGGAGCATAAGGACCCCTCCAAGTTCCAGAGTGAATATGGCAGGGCCGTCTCCATCAGTGCTTGTGAGCGAGGCTGCCGCCTCTTCTCCATCTGCCGGTTTGTGTCCAGGAGCTCCAAACCCAATGCCACCCGCGCTGAGTGTGAAGCAGGTGAGGGCTGGCTGGGTGGGCCAGGGTGGGGAGAAGATGGCCCGGGAAGATTGCTCCTGGTCACCCCCTCCTTCTCCTGCAGCCTGTGTGGAGGCCTACGTGAAGGAGATGGAGCAGCAGGCCTGTATGGAGGGCTGCTGGAGCCAAAACCCTGAGCTGGAGTCTGAGCTAGAGACCATGCAGAAGGTGGGCACCCTCCCACCTGCCACGCTGTACTTATACCCCCTTCTTCCTACCCAAATCCACACTCATGCCCAGAGTCTCCCAGGCTCTCTGATCCATTCTGGGCCTACTGGGTATCCTCGATCAAGCATAGCATGTCTCAAGTCTCAGTTGTCATCTGTGTCCCCCCTCCACCTCATTGCAAGAAGGAAATAATAGAAAATAGCCACCATTTATCAAGCATGTATCTTGGTCCAGATCTGACCTCAGCCTGTCCCAAATTCCTCGTGCTGCCTGGAGGTACCAGGACCAGGGACAATGTCATGCCCAAGGAGTCCAAGGTCACACCGAGCTGTGCAGAGGTGGCATCTAAAGCCAGTGCCACCAGGGCTAATAATTATTCCCTCAACTAGGTCATCTTCCGTGCCACCAGAGCGCACTTTAGCGAGCACCCACTGCATGCCAGGTGCTAATCTAAGCACTTTTCTGGTGGTGAACAGGTGCCCATTGTCATTGGGGGGGAGGGGCTCAGAACTGAGGTTCAGGGAGAAGCAACCTTCCAAGCACACCCACCCACACACTGCCCTCCCTTCCTCACCATCCTGGGGAGAAATAATAACTGCTCGCTTATTAATAACTGCTCCTTCATAGTCATGAATGAATCTAGGCCCTGCAGCCTCAGAGGAAACTGAGGCACAGGAACCAATTCATTATAGCCAGAGACCCATTGGCTGGGATCCCGCAGAAAGCCCTTCTTCCCTCATTTTCCTCCACCCACTCCAGCCTTTCACTGTTCCTAAAAGACAGAGCACTACCATTCCTTCCTATTCCGAGTTCTCTCTTGATGCCACCAAAAGAATAATGATGGTGGCAACATTTTTAGTAATAGCAGCTATTGCAGAGTAGGCTCTTGTGCTGTGCCCTTGTCTAGTTAAAATCTTGTAGGGACCCCCTGAGGGAAGAGAATCACCCCCATTCTAGGGCTCAGAGAGAGCAATCTCTTTTCCCCAGGGCACCCGGCCAATGGGAGGCAGCCGCAATGTGTTTCCCCTGCGAAGCCCTGTTGCCCCAAACCATTTAGTGAATTCCAATCCCAGTGGACTCACCCGTTTCCCTTCCCGTTGGTCAGTGCCTACCTTTGTCCCATTCTGTGCCCTCCTCTTCTCCTCGGCAGAAAAAGGCCCTGGAAGCTCCGAGCAGGGTTCTTTCGCTCCTGGGCTTGTTTTCCACCCTCTGCAGTGACCTTATCAGCTCAGCCCAGGGCTTCGTCTCCTCCACCTGGACGTACTACCTGCAGACTGACAATGGGAAGGTGGTGGTGTTCCAGGTGAGGGGCCTGGCAGGGGCCGCGCCAGATCAGGGTAAGGAGGTGGGATACAATCATTCTTGGCTCACGAGGTACAAAGTCGACAGCTGATGCTTCAGGCACAGCTGGATCCAGGAGTTCGGTGTCTCACTTTCCCACTTGCTGCTTCTTATGGTGGCTTTCTTCCCAGGCAGGCAGGTTACTCCTGATAGCAGGATGGATACTTAAGGCTCTAAATGACAACTTCTCTCTGGAGTTTTAACTAAGCAGGGCTTTACACGGATCGACCCTGGCTTGGTCATGTGACCACCTCTCAGCCAAACCCTGTGATTCCATTGGCTTGGCCTGGATCATGCTCTTCAGGAGCTGGAGGCGGGGTTCAAGACAAATTGAGGGGCTCACCAAAGCAGGGTACAACATTCCTGACATCATAGCCCCACAGAAGACTGTCCTTACTACACCCAGTGGGACTAGGTGCCCAGCTGGGCATGGGACAATGTAGGGCACATGTGGGGCACAGGGAGGTGCTTCCCAGAACTGAGGGGGTGATTTTGGAAAGACCTTCTCTGTGCTGTCTTATTCTTGGTCCAGACCCAGCCCATGGTAGAGAACCTAGTGCGTGAGAGGTCCCGTCTGCAGCGATTGGAGGTGACCTGGAGAGGGTCCCGTCCCGAGGCCGTGGAGGTACACGTAGGTAAGGTCTGAGCCTCGACCAGTGTTCCTGCCATGGGCAGCGCCACTGCCATACGGAGTCCTCCTGGCAAATCAACCCTCTAGGACTGGGATTTCTTCTCAACTCGTGGGTTTCCACGGTCTGCTTATCAGGGTCCCATAATGCATCTCCCAGGGTTTTCCTGGCCTGTTTCCTCCCAGGACTCCATGACCACCAGGTCCCGACCTCCTTTCTCCTCTCAGGGGCTGCTGTGGCCTCTAAGGGAAGGCCTAGCAGCCACTCGGGAACAACATGTCTCTCAGACCCTTTAGGCCCCTTGGACAGGATAAGGAAGCCCAAGATCCGAGTCAGGCCCAGCAGCAAGGCGAAGATGGAGTCTGATGAGCTGCAGGGCAAAGACTTCCTCAGCTGCATGTCCCGGTGGGTGGCGGGACCCTGGGGGTGGGGTTGGGGCAGGAGGGGAGGGTTCCCAGACCCCTCCAGGGTCACTGAGTATACCTGCCGCCTTGCGCAGGCGCTCGGGGCTTCCTCGCTGGCTCCTGGCCTGTTGCCTCTTCCTCTCCGTGCTGGTGATGCTGTGGCTCAGTTGTTCCCCTCTGGTGTCTGCTCCTGCCAAGCACTTCAAGTTCCAGGTGGGTGGGGCCAGTGGGTGGGCCTGGAGGAGGGGTAGGGGAGAGTGGCTCCATCCAGTTCAGGATGGGGCTACCCCCTCTGCATGGAGGCAGGACCCTTGCCTTGCTGTGTGATGTCACTCCCTTGTTAAATGGAGGGAAGACCGCCCCCTGTCCTTAGTCAGAGGGACCTGAGATCGGGGTGGAGGGGGGTGGGGGGAAGGAGCCTTGCAGAGTGGAGCTCATTAGCCTTCCCTCCCTCCTCTTCCCTTACAGCCCCTGCCCCTGGAGCAACACAGGGGCTACATGGGAGGGCCAGACTGGCCTCCGTATCCTGCCCGGTCGCGCGCCTATGCGGACAGTCCCCCACCCTACAAGACCAAGCTGTAGGTCACCCTTGAACCACGTACAACCACGGGCAGGGCAAGCTCCCTCCTCACTGCCCTGTGCCCAGGGGTCCAGGCCATGGTGGGACCCTCCTTGGGTTCCTGCACCCCAAACCCTCTCTCCCTGGTCCCATCCCATACCCCTCTGGATCCTGGGATTGCCATGCTGCCACTTGTGGGGGGCGGGGGGTGGGATCTGGCGTTTGTTCCTCTCTGGGCCCCCTTTCCCTGGCGCCTGGCCTGCTGCTTTCTGTTTTCTATTGTGTAGCTTCATGAGTATTGAACCCAAGTTCTGTGTCGCCTTCCTCCTCTCTCCCCTGGAGAGGGTGCATTTCTGAAGCCTCCGAGGAAGCATTTGTCCTGTGCTAGGGCTCCTCCTCCTTTTCCCCGCCTCACCTCTGAGACCCAGCCCCGTGGAGGAGGCCCTCTCCGGGGAGCTGTGGACAGCTCCGTGCTGGGAGGGTGGGTGACTAAGGTTGGAGTTGCAGCATGGGGGTCAGGAGGAATAAACCGTGTACATAAAAGATGTCTTGAACCACGCTTGCTTCTGTTTGTCTTGGAAGAGTGGCCGGAGCATCGCCGTGACCTCTGCCCATCAGGCCTTTCTGAGATGGGGGAAGCCCCGGGAACTCCCTGTGGCTCGTGTGCCCCTAGAGGTCGATTCACTTGGGCTTTCTGCCTTCTGCTAGAGTCAGCCTTGGTGGTGGTGATGGTGGTGGGGGGGTGGGGGTGGGGGTGATAGGACCAACAGGAGCTGGGAAGAAGGAGGAGTGAGAAGTTGGTGTTTCTTTTCGCATGTCCTTCCCTTCCTCACCCACCTCCACCCAGTGAGCCTTCAGCCTAGGCGTGGTGACAGCTCCCCACTGCTGCTTGTCCTGCACACTGCACCACCTGGGTCAGTACCTAGCCTTGCCCACACCTTTGCCAAGAACCCTTTCATGACAGCGCTCCTGGATCGATCTCCCATTCCCGGTGTCTCCTGCTGCCGCTGGGACCCTGCCTGATACCCTGAGCACCAGGATTCAACCTACAGGCAGTCAGGCCCCCCGGTGTCATTCTGGGCCCGAACTGTGGTTTCAGGGCCGCCCCTGGGCACGTTGCCAGGAAATGAGCCCTGGACAGAGATAAGAAGTGGAAGTGGGCCAGCCCTGCCCGGTAGAACTTTCTGTGATGACAAAAACGTTCCGCCTGCACCACCCTCAGCCACATGGTATTACACAGCCCTTGCAGTATAGCTAGGTGACTGAAGAAATGCATTTTTCATTTCTTCAGTTGGAGTTGATATATATTTAAGGTTTTTCCTCTATTTTTTTTTTTTGTGGTGGTAAAATATATAACTCACATAGTTAACCAGTATTGAAGCATACAAATCAGTGGGATTAGACTCATCCACAGTGTTGTGCAAACATCCCTCTGTCAATTGAAATGGCTACCAGAACTGCTTAGCCCAGCTGGGAGGGCCCCTGGTGGTCGTTTCCCCTACATCTTCACCCTGTCCTCTTCATCCCAATGGCCCCTGATTCTGACCTATCTTCACTCCACCTTATTCCAAGGACCTGTCCCCTTGCTTCCAGCCCACATGCTTCTCCATCACCATGGAAACCACCGGAGGTCCAAGCTATCCCTCCTCTCTGAGCTCCATGCTTCCCCTCTAGCCACCTTCCAGCTCCAGGCAGCAGCCGGGGAGCTGTCAGTATTATACAAATCCAAACCCAGGCATCACCTCTTTTCTGAATTTACTGCTGCCATGAGGAGCCCAAACATGTACCAACATGAACCCCCCCCCCCACACACACACACACGATCTGGCTCCATTAACATTAACCATTTCTGGCCCTGGCCTGGTAGCTAGCTCAGTTAGTGTTGTCCCGATACACCAAGGTTGCAGATTCGATCTCCCAGCTGGGCACAGACAAGAAGCAACCAATGAATGCATAAATAAGTGGAACAACAAATGGATGTCTTCTTCCCTCCTCCTCCTCCTCCTCCTCCTTCTCCTCTTAACCCACCTCCTCCCCCTCCTCTTTCTTTTCCTCCACCTCCTCCTCCTCCTTCTTTTTTCTTTTTCTCCTTCCCCCTCTTCTTCTCTCTTAAATAAAGAAATAAATTAAAAAAAAAACACACCCACTAACCACTTCTACAGAGACTCTGCCTGCCTCTCATTATGCTCCAGCCTACTATGTTCCTTCCAACACCAAGGCCTTTGCACATGCATTTCCTTCTTCCAGGAATACCCTTGCAGCCCGGCTCTGCCCAAATTCTTAACTAAATATGCTCCTCGGCAGAAGACATCCCAGCCGTCCCAGACTGGGCTAAGCATTCCCTGTTATACCCATGTTTAGTTCCCTGTCAGTCTCCCTGAGCTTAACATAGTAATTGTTAAACAATTAGTAATTATTAAATAATTAATAATTGCTTATTTCAGCATTGGTACAGCATCATTTTACAAGCTCCATGAAGACATCTTCCCTGGGTCTCCTAGAGGATGGCGCATGGAGCAGGGGATCAGTATGTGTGCTTGGGTTTCTCCTTGTTTCCATCTCAGACCCCAGCAGTAGCCTCACCCGATCAAGTCCATCCCCTATGCAGGTCAGACCATGTCCCTCCCCTACTGACACCCATGTCTTCCTCTCGCTCCCAGACACCACCTAGTTCCCTCTTAAGGGCTTTTAATACTTGCCAACCTGGCAGGCACCTCTCCTGTTGTGTCCCTCCCACCTTTTAGTCTACCGACAAAATGGGCTGTCCTCATTGTTTCTTGCAGTAACATCAATGGTCCAGCCCCTGCTCATTCCACTGAATGGAATCATGGACTTGGTAGGAATTTACCTGATACCTGTCACCCTCTTTTTCCTTCTCATAGGACTCTGGTTTGCTTTGACCAAACCTATGTGGCTCAGGGGAAGTTGAGCAGCGTGACCCAAGCCTCCTCTGTTATTGGTGGGACTTCTTGGGGAGAGTGACATGCCCTGTTGCCTGGGGTTGCTGAGCTGGGAGGATATGTCTGGAGCTACCCAGGGTATATGTCACCAAATGACAGAGCCTTCCAGACAGATGGAGAGAGACTGTCTTCATGACATTGCTGGAAGTCCTGGATCAAGCTGTACCTGAATCCCACACTGCCTCTTGATTTTTGGTTTATGTCAGTTTCCATTGAGCTTCTTGGAACTCAAAAGTTGTAACTGATCTCTATCTTTTTTTCTCTCTTCTCTCTCTCTTGAGATTGTGTTTTGTTTGCTTCTGTGTGTCTAGTGTATTCATTCTTTTCTTTTCTTTTTTAAGTTTTAAAACCTCATCTGAGATATGTTTATTGATTTTTAGAGAGAAGAAAGGAGAAAGAGAGAGAGAGATCTATTTGTTACCTCCCATATGCACCCTGATGGAGGATCAGACCTGCAACCTAGGTATGTGCCCTTGACCAGGAATTGAACCCATGACCATTTGTTGTGCCAGCTGATGCTCTAACCACTGAACACAGACCAGGGCTCTAGCGTATTAAATCTCAAAGCTCTGGTGACTAGCCCAAGGCTGGGCCAAGAGTGAATGCTTGGTAGATGTGGAATTCATAAGGCTAAGCGGTGAGGGTAGAAACCATGAGAACTGTGGATGTGTGGAAAGGAGAGACGAGGCCCTTCGAGGAAGGTGATACGTGATGGCTGCCTGGAAGAGGTGGCAGCTAACGCGGGCTTTGAGGATGGATAGCATGTGGGGAGAAGGGAGATGTGTCCCAAGTGCATGAGTGTGTGTTGGAGGTGTGTGTGTGTGTTCCAAGAAAAGCAACACCTGCTCACATCACCTACCCTTCACTGGGAGTGGGGGCTTTGGGCCCCTTTGGGGTTACAGGAGAGCAAGGGCCTTTGCTCCCACCTGGGGCTCCTTCCAGGGGTGGGGCCAGCAGAGGTGACCGTGGGAGGAGCCTGACTCACCACAGCTCTCTCAGCCTCAGGGTTCTCTTCTGTTCTCCCTGTTCTTCCGGGCATCTTGGCCCTTCCTCCACCTTCCTGCTGCACCCAATGCAGACCTGGTGGGGGGTGGGTGGCGGGTGGTGGCTGGCATCATGGCAGTAGTGCTCATAGTACAGGGTTGTCATGGCAACCGGCTGTCCTGTTTTCCTGGAGACAGGCCTGAGTTCTGGGCCCTGGGAGGTAATCTGCTGAGGAAGGATGGGGACTCATATCTTTACCTTCTGTGTATAGTAGGAGGTGCAGGCTAGGCCCCCCTGGGGGATACACAAGTTCCTGCTCAAGGGCCAGGCATCAACCCAATAGGGAAGCTGAGGCCTCCAGGGGTCCTGTGTCATGTGACTCTGCCCATCATCCACCTCACACCCAGTCCCACCAGACTACGCGGCTCCTGGCACTCTCCCTCCTCAAGGTCGCCAAACAGGCCATTCTCTCTTCCGGGAAGGCCCTGCTTTCTTCCTGGCCACGTCTTCAGCCTGAATGTTCCTCCCTGCCATCCTGGCTCAGCCTGGCTCCCCCCCTAAGTAACTAGGCCCCAACTCGAGCTTCTATCATGTTGACAATTATATTATTGCTTCTTTGCTTGTGTGTTGAATGGTTTAATAAATGTTCCCTCTGCCAGATGTGACGCGCGAGCAGCCTCAGTCACAGCTGTGCCCCACACTCCAGGAGGCTGTTCTCAATACATCTTTGTCGACACTCTCACGCCTTGCTCCAAGCTTTGCCCATATCACCCCAGCCAATGTAGTTTCTTGTCTCCATTTCTTAGGCTCTTTCTGGCATCAGGTTTGGGACCTACATGATACGTCCACCTGAAACATCCTTGGCCCTTCCACACAAAAAATGTTTTGGAATGTTCTGGAAGATCCTAGAATATTCTGTCCCCTGCTTTTTTAGTAACGCTGGACATCACCTCCTTGAAGAAGCTGTTCCTCACCTATGGCTAAAGTAGTCCCTCTCTGCTTGGTGGCTCTCAGTCCACTGACTTCATGGCTGTTATCACCATCACGAAAGGCCTTGGTCATTGATCAGTTTATGTGTCTCAGATTGTCTTTCCCATTAGAATGCAGTAAAAATGGGTGTATAATGCTGTTTGTGAATCAGCCCTGGTGAGTGTGCTCGGTGATTAGAGTGTTGGCCCACGCACCATAGAGTCATGAGTTTGATTCCAAGCCGAGGGCACATACCTGGGTTGCAGGTTCAATCCTGGCCCTGGTCAGGGCACATACCAGAGGCAATCAATTGATGTGTCTTTCTCACATCAATGTTTCTCGCTCTCTCCCACCCTCAGCTCTCTCACTCTCTCCCTTTCACTCTCTCTAAAAATCAATGGAAAAAATATCCTTGGGTGAGGATTAAAAAAAAAATGAATAAAAAAGAATATACATTCTAGAAGATTCTGGAACATAAGGGCAGGGATCTTGCCTGACATGCTTACAGCCCAGCACCTGGCTGCTGGAGGGAGGCATCTTGAGACCAGGAGATGGCGGTGAGCTCCAGGGTAGGATGGCTCTGACGTCCTCCTGATGGGGCTTTGGGCAAATTACTTACTCTGAGCCGCT